ACACACACACACACACACACACACACACACACACACACACACACACACCTAGCACCTCGCGTCCGAACATGCGCCTACATGCGCCAACTCCGTGAAGGCAATGAAGCGACACCAGCACGGCCAAACCAAAAAAAAACAAAACGAAAGCACGTTGGGCCTCAAACATGTGCCTGCATGCACGAATTCAGTAAACCAAATGAAATGACTCACACGTGGCCAAACCAAAAAAAAAAAAAAAAAAGCGCTTTGGGCCTCGAACATGCGCCTGCATGCACCAACTCACTGAACACAACGAAACGACGTGAGCGTGGCCAAAACAAAAAAACAAAAAAATGAAAGCGCGCTGGGCCCGACCCGGAACCGCAAACTTTTTCCAACACTGGCTGCGGGTCTCACGTAGGAGTGTTATGCGAGACCCACTATTTCCTTCTCTGAGAATAGGGATGTAAGGACCTGCCAAAACACAGACTGAGAACACTGCTGATTTCTGACTTTTGCCGCTGGAATGTATGCCTTGTTGAGATTCCCGCGTTCTGCTGAGTTTTCTAAGTCTGTGTATGTGCATGCATGCTGGTCCGTGTGCCTGTCTGAGTGCTTGTCGGACTGAGTGTGTGTGGCCCGCCAGGGCACTTGTTTGTTTAGGAGGCCCGCGGGGCCGGTACTTACCTGTGGCCGTGACTTTGAGGGTTGCAGCAGGGAAAAACACTCAAGTGGATGACGGGGTAGCTTAGGGCACACTCAAGTAGCGCAGCACTTGAGTAGCGGTAGGCCGAGCAGAAGAAGAAAAAAAGTTAGTACCTTTAGAGGGTAGAAGTCTGGAAGTGTAGGTCTAGGGCCTGTAGGAGTAGATATCAGGTCTCCAATGATGTTTCCCTCCGAAAGGAAGGAGGTACCGGTTGCTTGGAGGCCTAGGGCCTGTACGAGTAGATATCAGGTCTGCATCGACTCTGCAATGATGTTTCCCTCCAGAAGGGAGGAGGTACCGGCTGCTTGGAGGCCGTGCGGCCTGGAAGTCACCGCCCAAGAGGCTGGTAGGCCACTATATCTCCAGGAGGAGCGGGTTGCTCCTCCTCATTTGCTGCGTGCAAGTTTGGGCATCACGCTGCTGCCGCGCCTGGAGGAGCCCTAGAGTGCAGCGCTGGGGAAAGAGGAGCGCCCAGCCCTCCACCTTCGGCTATGGTGGTCGGGTTTGGGTAGGAGGAGGAAGACAGGGACTAGTGAGGAGAGAGCCAGGGGTACTTACCTGGCTATGGTGGGTACCGTCTTCATCTCCTTGGTAAGCGCAGCATCTGGAAGGCCCCTAGTGGGGTAGCGCCACATCAAGAAGGCTTCAAGGCAGAGTCAGGCACGGCGGCCTGAAGATTGGAGGACATAGCTGCTTTTGCATTGCCTTTTGCGCATCGGGCCAGGCCCTTAGTAGTCCGCCATAGCCCAGGCCTGTCGGAGGTGGAGGAAGATGGAGGTCATGGCTATGGTGGACCTCATATTGTGCTGGCAGTAGAAGAGGGATTCGGACATTGATTCTGGTTCAGCAATTCATTGTTATTATTATTATTATTTATTGTTTGAATAAGAAAGGAAGATAAGGAGGAGGAGTTGGTCGGCAAGAGAAGGGGGAATTATCATTGGTCTTTTGCTGGTGTGCATCTTCTTTTTCTTCTTTCTTTCTTCTCCTTCTTCTTTGGTCTCTGTCCCCCTTCAAGTTCATTCATTTCCTTTCGTAATTGGATGGCATTGTACTTGCTTATGTTATTGCACTCGGGAATCGGCCAGGATCATAACAAAAAACAAAATTACAAAGAAAAAAGGAAAACAAATTCCACCACCAGCAGGCCTAGCTGAGTTCGAATTCAGATGGAACTAGATGAATGAAATTCTTGAATTATCTGGTGCACGTCAGTCCCACAATGACATCTCTCTCGTTTTTTCTTAATATATATATATATATGTAGATATCGTCACAAATATATATATATATATATATATCGTCACAAACAGAACTGCCCGGTAAATATATATCTATATATCTATATATATCGTCACAAACAGAACTGCCCGGTAAACCGTAGGCAGAGAGAGAGAAGAGGACAACAAACGAGGGGTTGTGTAAATATATATATATATATCGTCACAAACAGAACTGCCCGGTAAACTGTAGGCAGAGAGAGAGAAGAGGACAACAAACGAGGGGTTGTGTATATATATATATATCGTCACAAACAGAACTGCCCGGTGAAACCGTAGGCAGAGAGAGAGAAGAGGACAACAAACGAGGGGCTGTGACAAACTGTTTCGTCGGAGTTTCACCGACTCATCAGTATATATTATATATATATATATATATTTTACCCCTTCTATTCTGGGGGCAACAGTCCGGTTGCTTATGACCGGCAAGCATGTTTGTACATCCAAGAGAAAGGGGGGAGAATACACCCACAATGACATCTCAAGGCCCTCACCATTTATATAGAGAAGGGAAAAAAACAGGGCAAAAACGAAAAGAACAGAAATTCCACCACCCTTCCCCTTCAAAAAATAAAAAAGAACGATAAAAAAGAACAAAGCAGGTAGCATAACGGAAATGTTGTTTCTCTTACCTCTCCTGCGAAGTAGAGGTTGGGGCACTTCCGACTTTCCATGCTTTGCAGGTCGATCTGCACAAACAGGAATTCATACATGCAAACAAAACGAAGTGCAAGCCTGGTCAGCAACAAGCTTTTGAGGACAGACGGGTTGTTTTCCCCTTTTTCATGGAAAATAAAACTAATAATTAATTTATTAAATATAAAACAGTAATGAGAACTGAAATGAGCCAAGTACTTGTCACGCTCAACCACGCGTACATCAATGAACATTCACATGAGAGCTCACACGTGAGAAGCCAAATAGAGATACAATCAACACTTGAAGATGTTGTGTCCAATATTATTATCCATATACAAGAATGTTGGTCTCCAGCAGCTCTGCCGTACACACACACACACACACACAACAGATCCCAATCAGGTGGCGGCTCTCCCTTCTCTCTCTCTCTCCCTCTAACCCAGATCGCCTCCCTGGATACACCCACTCAGGTAGCTTAAACCTTGGCGGCTATGACCGCCGTCCTCCTGCTCTACCGCTAGCCTAGCTATGGAGTATCTCACAAACGCCCTTTTCTTCTTCAGGCGCACAGTGCCCAAGTTGCCTTAACGCACAAGCAGCGGCAGCGCTTCCGCATCTCGCAACTGAACAAGTGATGAGCTGCTGCACTGCCGCAGCTAAATATAGGACTTGGCTTGGCTTGGCCTGCTTCAGACCGATACCGGTCGGCCGCGGCCTGTCTGCTGCAACCATTTTGACAGTCCGGTAGCTTCCGGACTTTCCTGGGACATGCTGCAAAATTGGACTTGGGACTGTCGGACTGGACTGGACGCTGCTGGACTTTTCTTGTCGGGTACCGGACGGACTCCTACAACCTACGACGCTTCGGTACCGACACCTACCGGTCTACAACACTTCGGCCTCTAGACCCTACAGCCTACCCTACAGGACGGCCCTGGGGCTTGGGACTTGTCGGGACCCTGGGACCGGGACTGGATGTCTGCAGCGTGAATCATTTCACTCCCACCGGCCTAATTTCGAGGTCCTCCAAGAAAAATCTCAACTTTATGGATCATACACATTTCCTTCCCGTCTAGCCTTCTCATAATAGGAGACAATGTGAGGGGCTGTCTGTACTAGTTCCTCCCTAGGGAACCAGCGGTCTTCGCTGGGTTCCTGATAGGCAAACCTGACCTTGTATTGCCTCTGAGGCCTCCCTCGGCGACCTGTTTCGAAAGTATCTTCAGCCACTATTCGGTCTATGTCACAACCTCCATCCACATCAGGTGGAATCATGGAACGTCGGGAGGGAAACTGATCGTTTGTAATACAGGGAAGCAACTTAGACGCGTGGAATATGGGATACCCATGCAGGTGGGGTGGTAGTGTAGGCTGGACCATCTGCCTCTCCTTTGACATCTAGGACTTGCCATGCCCCCCTATACGCAGGTAGCAGTTTCTGCGAGATCCCTTCCTCCGGAACAAACTCCTTAGATTTTAGTATCATTTTACCCATACCAAATCTCCTACTGCAAACTGCAACGGACGTCGGTGTTTGTTTGGTTTCTCCACCATCTGATGCTGGGCTTTAAGGATGTTCTTCTTGACCTGTTCTAAATCCTTCTCGTATTGGATAGCGAATTCCCTGGTACTGAGCAGCAACTTGTGAATCTGATCGCGGTTCAGACAGTCAATAGGACACCGGGGTTGCCAACCTCTGTGCAGTTCATTGGGGGTGCGTGCAGTAGACAAGTGCACTGAGTTGTTATACGCAGACTGCACTTTGGGAATATGTTCGTCCCAATCGATCTGGTCGGGCCTAATGTACATGCGTAGCACTTGCTGGAACAGTTTTTTCATCTGCTTGGTCTGGCCATTGGTCTCCGGGTGTCTACCGGAAGACATGGTCAGTTTTGATCGATATACATTCATTCATCAACTGTTGCCAGTGCTGGCCAGTGAATCCGCTATCTATATCATTTACAATCGTTAATGGGTGTCCGTGATCGTTCACCCAGTGATTGAAGAACTCTCTAATCACCAAATCTGTCTTCGCCTCAGTGGGCAGTGGAATAAAAACAACAAATTTACTAAAGCGATCTACTATCACCATCACTTGACTCTTTCCCGCTTTTGCTCTTGACCTTCGTGTCCATGAAGTCGATAGACATGGAGTCATCGGGACCGGACGGGACATGTAGTGGTCTCAACAATCCAAGGGGGGCCTGGGTGGAACTCTTGTTCCGCTGGCATACTTGGCAGCCCTGGATGTAGGCAATGCAGTCGTGCTTCATGCCGACCCAGGTATAGGACCGTAGGAGATTAGAGTAAGTCTTTCTCCAACTGAATTGGCCCTCAGTGTCGTGGCATTCCCCCAAGATCAGACTTTTGACAGTCTCGTTATTCGGGATACAAAGTCTATCAAACCTGTCAGTCTTTTCAAACAGTAGTCCGTCAGTCAGTCTATAATCCGGGACTTCGTGTGGTGTGGTCCACACTCTCCTGATTAGATCGCTGTAAACGGTATCATCAGCATTTGCAGCCTTGATCTGCTGCTGTACCTTGACGCTTGCATCTAGGTAAGTCACGAAGGCACCGAAGAAATTTGTGCGTCTACTCAATGTGTCAGCGACGACATTCTACTTGCCCTTGACTAGTTTCAGCTCAAAGTCGAACTGATCTATCTCGCCGGCCCACCTAGTCAACTTAGGGGTCATCCGGGCCTGGGTTTATAACCAGCGTAGGGTCTCGTGGTCAGAGCAGACTTTGAAGTGCCTCCCTAGGAGATAGTGCCGCCAGTGGTTTAATGCTTCCCTCAAGGCGAACAACTCACGCCCATATGTCAACGCAGCGACCTTCTCACAAGGCAACCTACAAGACATGAAGTCGACTGGCCTATAGCCGTCTCCATCGTTTTGTTGGAGTACAGCGCCAATTCCGTACTAGCTCGGGTTAGTTGTCACAATGAATGGGAGTGATGCATACGCCACCTTCAGGACTGGGTACTCAATCTACGACTTCTTCAATTTCTTGAAGGCTGAGGTGAAGTCTTTGTTCCACCTCGGCTAAACGAGACTCAGAGGTAGTGGTGGTTTAAAGCACCAGTACACCACATATCAGCCCGCGGGTATCAGCATGAAACCCGCACCACTTCGGAGGCTGCCGATTTTTTTTTCAACGGCTGGCCTGGCCGCGCGGCGTCTCCGGGTTCTGCTTGTGGCGACAAAAACTTTCTGCAAGGCTGGGGCCGTGTACTCGCGGTTTTAGTAGTAAATCAACCAAAGGACTGCACATTGAAAAAATCTTGGTCAAACCGAGCAACAGAAGGGTTGCACTCCAAGGCCGGGTCGATCCCATTTCCAAGAAACCTAAAGAAGGAATGAAGAATATCACTCCTCAACATAAATCAACTTCTCTTGTCTTCTCACCAGACATGTAGTAAATAAGTACTCTGGAGAGTGCAGCTGTAATGAACCCAAATCCGAGAAGCTCACACCATCAACATCACGCATGAAACCGACAGTGCTCAATTAATGACCATTGCAATAGGTAGCGTAGTAGACCACTGTCAAGAGAATGGAAGAAGAAGAGTAGTAGTAGGAGGATAAACTTGAAACAATAGTCATATTCAATTGGTACAACGGGTAACAACGCCATTTCTTGTCTTCCCCCATCTTCCTCCAGGCACTCCTCCTGTTGCCACCTCAGCAATCGTCAACCTAGACCTCTACCAACGATGAATCAACTATCCCTCTTCCCAACACCTCCCCAACATATATGCAAAGTCACTCACTCTCCAACACATTATCACCCTGGTGCAATGAAGAATAACACCAGTCAATACAATGCCGGCCTTCAGAAGGAAAGCACTGTTTGCCTTCTCAAGGCAACATCTACAGGTAATTCCAGGTAAGCTTCTCTTTTGCTCTCCTCTCTCAACACAGGATATGCTCTCTCTCTCTCTCTCCYCCCCCCAMCCGCCTCGCCCCCCCCMCACCCCCCCCYCSCCCCCCCCYCYCAYGCTCAGCTATGGTGCCAGTGCACCTCCTACTCTTCCTTCTAAAATGACTCCGGCGAGCTGAATGCGAGGGCTGACAGGATTTGCTCTGCCTTAAAGCGTTGCTTCCTATTGTCGAAGATCTAGCATGCAAAACAAAGCAATCCTGACAGCTTCCACAACTGAAAAAGCTATCATGCACTCTTCCTTGTAATTTTGAATACTAACATGCAAAGAATTCCTGTACAGCTCCACCTGGTCGTATAGAACTAGCATGCAGTCTTGCTCCCGAAACTCTTTCATGGAATTATAACAATTTTTCTCGTTCTTCAAAAGCCCAAAGAAAAGGGGTTAATGCTCTTACATCCATAGCATAGGTGTTTAATGCAAGTAGATGATGTAAGATCGGGGCAATTTCACAAAATAACACTTGTATATATTGACCTCGTAATGGTACTACACATTATGGCATCTCTCACTCTCAATGTCTCTCTCCTGTCTGCCTTCCTCCAGCGCCAGTGCTCAATGCAGCGCTCCAGCCTCCAGTGAGCAGAAGACAGCATGAATGAACGAGCTGGGGCAGGCTGACGTTCTAGCATTGACTCAGCCTGGCCTGCCTCAATTTGCCTCCTCGGATGGCTGAGATTTCCTGATCTCTACGGCCAGAAATTAGTCATGGCCAGTCTGCCCCTTATGGCTGAGATTTCCTGATCTCTACGGCCAGAAATTAGTCATGGCCAGTCTGCCCCTTGACCCAGCAACCCTGGAAGCTTCCGGAAACACTGCTGAGCCTTTGGATTGCGTGTGATCTGTGGCCGTGGCTGACTCCACAGAGATATTTGACTCTTTGACTTCTGTACCTGGCTAGGGCCCGACTGTTGAGTTTCCTAGGGCCTAGTTTGACTTCCAGAGGCCCTGCCCACTTCGTTTAGACTCTCGACCCCAGGTCCACTGACCTCAGACTTCTTTCCAGGCCCTCATGGCGACCCTTTTTTTTGACTCTAGAACTCTGCTGTGGCCAGAAGCTATGACTCCTTGACTTTTTTTCACATTGCTCCTCCTGACAATGGTTCTTTGCACCAGCATAAGGAAAGTGAAGATGTCCCCCCTCCTTTTCACTTACCCTAACTTTCTCACACTTGTTTCCAGGCCAAAGGAAAATGACAACAACATCCTGTCGGCAGAACCAGCTCTGACTCCTCTTCTCTTTCATCTCATCGACTTCCCTCCAAGAGTGCTAAATGCCCAGGCCTTAGCAACCCGTCGTACCCATCCCTTTTATTGATACATCGCCATGACGTTCAAAAAACAAACAGAACAAAAACTTCAAAAAAGACTTACCTTTCCGTTTAATTTGTATTCCTCTTGTCTCCATTCTTACTCTTATGGGGATGAAAGGATGGAGAGAAGAACTGTCAGGGAGGCAGCACTTGCAGCTGAAAGGGGAAAGAAATTCAAATAAAAACAGGGAAAGATTCAAAGGAATTCAAATGAAAGTTATTACCTCCACCAATGGGATGCCTCCAGCTGTGACAAATTCCTCCTTAAAGACACCCTTGTCATCAGCAAATCAGCAGCAAATGAACACAGAATGCAAAAGAAGGCTATAATTAGAACAGCTGCAACCATCAGCAAATGCATCTACCGGCTTCACCCGAATAGAACACCCGGTCATCGTAGCTGCATTTGGGGCACCTTGCAGTCCCAATACAGCGATAATGACGGGCGTTCAGTTTGGGTGAAGATGGTAGTAGTGCAACGAACACTGTAAAGAGCACTCTAATCACTATGCCTGCCGTCTGGAAAGAAAGCACACAGTGTGGGAACCTGCAGACTACAGTCCAGTTCATCTGGCCAGAGGGACCTCTCACTTTGTTCAGTGGAGGGGTCAAAGTGGGGGCCCAGCTTACAGCACATGTTGTCGAAAAAGTCCCATCAACATCAATGTCCCATTGTCCCCCCCTTCTGCACTCTCAACCAGTATTCAGAGGGTGATGGAGTAACAGTGTGGCACAGTTATGGTCCCTTTTTGAAGGGAGACAGTCAAGGGTGCCACTTACATCCCCAGCCGTCGAGGCGGAATGTACACAGTACTACACACACTTAGCTGTTGATATTAAGTAATAAACTGTGTTCAAATCCGGGTCGTCTGGAGGGCTGGCCTTTGTCCAGCAGGGGTCCCGGGGAGCCCGGCCGGTTGGGTCCCCCGGTTTGGCGCCGGGCGAGCCCAGCGCAATTTCGCACCGGGGGAGGGGGGGGGGAGGCCTTTTCCGGCTAGTGGTCGCCTCTCCAGCCTCCAGCAACACTAGTTTTTTTTTTTGTTTTGGATTAGTTTTAGTGGAGGGGGAGGTCTTCTTCGGCGACTGATCCCAGCCTTAGATCAGCTGCCAAGAAAATGGTTTCCCCCTCTGGCGGGCTACGACTCGAACGCGGTACTCCCCATTGCGAAGCCTGTCGTTGCTGCCGTCACGAAGTCGCCCATCATCGCTGCCGTCGTGAAGCCCGCCCGTCGTCGCTGCTCCTCCTCGTCGAGCTACCCCGTCGAGAAGCCTTCCCCGTCGTCGCTGCCCGTGAAGCTGCTGTCTCCATCGTGGTGAAGCCTCTTCCACCTCCTTCCTTTCTCTTCTTCTTCTTCTTCCTCTCCTCCTCCTCCTCCTCCTTTTGTATTCTTCTTCTCCTCTCCTCCTCCTCCTCCTCCTCCTCCTTTCGTCTTCTTCTCTCCTCCTCCTCCTCCTTTCTCCTCTTCCTCCTCCTCCTCCTTCGTCTTCTTCTCTCCTCCTCCTCCTTCTCCTCCTCCTTTCTTCTCCTCCTCCTCCTCTCTTCTCCTTCTCCTTCTCCTCCTCCTCGTCCCGATTTTGTTGGATTTGTTTATTAGGCGAAGTGCCTCGTGGCAACACCAGTGCGCCGAGAAGTGCGACGTGTCGGGATAGGCGAGCTACGGTGAAATCCCGCCACTAGTTGATGTACTGACGGGCAGGATTCCTCTCTCTCTCTCTCTCTCTCTCTCTCTCTCTCTCTCTCTCTCTCTCTCTCTCTCTCTCTCTCTCTCTCTCT